GACTCTAATTAATCTGTATGTTTTACAATTATATTGTTAAAACTGCAAAAATTCCGAACATAAGAGAAATGATGTTACTGAAAATGACAGCTCTCTGAAGGTTAACAGATCAATGTCTGTAATGAGTCTGCAAATTTTCCCTTAACAATGGCTCCTTCCCTTCATTCTATAGACATGCGTAAGTCTTTATTATCCCAAAATTAAGAGGCAAAACAAAACTTTCCTGAGTCTTGCTTCTGGTTCAATGTATTATTTTCTCCATCTCCTTTCCTAGCCTGAGAACTGCAGGGCAGGGACCACACCATAGTTTTACCAGCACTAGCATAATAACTGAAACACAATGGGTGCTCAAATATTTGCTTAATGAAGAACTATCTTAAGCTAATTATCTATTCTCTAACTTTACTTCCTCAACACCTACCATTTAAACCCAAACACTCTTATCCCTTATTTACTGAAACAACTTTCTCAGGGTTTCTCCAGTGAAGCAATGAGGTGGTTGGCAGTGCTGGCTCTGAGACCAGACCACTCTGGTTTGAAGATTTATTTCACCACTCCCTTACTCTGAAACTTGGGCAAAGTTACCTAATATTGCTATAGCTCAATTACCTCCTTTGTAGAATAGAAATTGTTTTACAGATTAAAATAATCTAATATACTCTGTGTAAGCACTTAGCACAATATGTGAGGAAACAATCAGCATTCAAATGTTAGCTGGTGTCATCATTATCATTATTAATAATATTTCACTTGATCTATATGCAGTTCTAACATTGCTGACAATATTGATGACCTTTATAATTTATATTAGGAGTAAATGACTATATATCTTTAATCTTAAATTTCTAGTTGAACTCTTATGAAATTGAAAGGAAGATGGCAGAATCTTAGCACATTTAAACCAGCCAGATGTTAAAATTCTTTGTTCTTTCATAGCTTGCCCAGAGACAAACTCAGGAAATTCTTATTTGAGCAAGAAAATACTCTGGCAGAAGATGGAAAAAATAGCCTCAGCCAAGATAAAAGTAAAAGCACAAAAAATTGTCCATCATAGGCTGCTATATGATTTTAAGGTTATGTTGAATTAAATAAGCAGGAAGCCATTGCCTAAGCCTGTCTCCATAGTTTAAGTTCCTTTGTAGCAACCTGCAGTCTAATTTAGGAGTATATTTTTTGTAACAAATAGCTAGGTTTCAGCCAATCACAGGCAGCCAACAGATCAGACCATGCCCAAATAAAGCAAATGCCCAGCTATAGGCAATTAGATGATTCCTCTACTTTGTTTCTGTGTTGGGCTTATAAAAGTTTGCTGCTCACACTGCCAGGTGGAGCTCTCTGAACCCCTTCTATTTCTGAGTGCTGCCCAATTCATGAATCCTTCTTCGCTCAATAATCTGTTCAATTTGTCTAAAGTTTTTTTTAACATAGTATTCAAATTAAGTAAGTTATGTGGAATATGCTTTGAAACCATAAAGTAACTGTTATCGTTTTCCTTTGTAAATAAAACATCACTAACAATTTAGGAGACCATGTTAATGAAGTTGGGTGTCTAACAGGCATCTTGCATTTAACATGTTTAAAGCCTAACTCTCACTACTTCTTCTACTCCCTACCAATCCCTCCCCATATTAGTAAATGACAGTACCCTTTATCTAGTTGCTTCAGTTCCAAATCTGAGAGTCATATTTGGACTCTTTTTTTTTCCTCATTTACCACAACCATCCGTCAACACATTTTATTGGCTCAAAGCTCAAATTTTAAACACTTTTTGCCACCTTCATTGCTATCATCCTAGTCCAAGTCTCTGTCATCTCTCACCCAACCTGCTATGATAATCTTCTAACTATCCTCATTGTTTCTGGTCTTATTCCCTATTTTCTAGTTTCTCCTGCAGCAACTAGAGGATCCCTTAGATCATGATACTCTCCTACTCAAAACTTTCCAATGGCTTTCCTTCCAATGGAAGTTGGATTTTACAATCAGTCCTTGCATACAGTATGAGTCCCCATTGAATCTGGGACATGTACTTCTCCATTTCCCCTGAATCTATTCTAGCCATAGTGGTCTTCTGGCTATGCTTTAAACACCACAATATGATTCTGCTCTTAGAGCCTTTTGTACTTATAACCCCCTTTGCCTAAAATATTTTTCATCCAGATATTTGAATAGTAATCTCTTTCCTTCATTCAGACCTCTACCCTAATTTCTCTTAGAGGCTTGTCTTGAGCATCCTATCTCAAATAGAACTGACATCAGTCTCAATTCCCCTACACTATTCCATTTTTCCTTGTAACACTTTTCACTACTTATTATATTCTAATGGAGAAGAAAAACAAATATAAGCTTCATGAGCATAGGGACTTTGAAGTTTCATTCACCTAGAAAGTGCTTGGCACATAGTGGGTGTTCAATATACATTTTCTTAACAAAAGAATGAATTATTTTATGGTTTTAAAGT